TTTTTATTACTGTCTTAATTTGCCTTTCTGAATTTTGACTTATTTCCCTTCTGATGTTTCCTCATTGGAATCACTTTTATAGTCGTGTTTTCTCAGTTTCTCTCTTGCTCCTGTTTTATATTCCCTCATTTATAACATCGTGTATAGGAGGGAACTGTGTGGAAGATTTTCATTTCATTCAAAGTATAATTCACTTACCTGAGCTGTGAGATATAAGGCAGACACTGCAGGAACGTCCTCACTTCACTCTCTTCATCTGAGCAGCCTGTCAGATACACTACTTTCTCCTCTGATTGGAGTTTGAGCACTTCCAGGAGGATGGAGGACTTCCTCTGTGAGAGATCTATGAACCAGACTGCAGGATTTGACTGGAAAACTGACTGTAATGATGGAAGGACACTCAAACCTGTTTTAGTCTCACAGTCTTTCACATGGGAGAACATGTCCAGCATGGAATTACATTTATCTTCCATAATATCATCGTCAAAGTCATCTATGAACAGTTCACTTAAAGTTAATGTTTCATCATTGCACATTGATGATAGCAGGTCCAGTATCTTCTCTCCTGTCTGCTTTTCTTTCTCTGCTGCTGCACAGAACAGGTTCCCCAAGAATCTAGTTTGTTCATCAAGATCTGATGTCAGAGGAACAAAACTGGAACAAAAAGAATAAAACATTTTGTGATGATTTGATTTCAGCTGCATTAATACAACCTCCACTTTGTCTGTGCAATAATGGAATATTGGCTTTGAGAGAAGTGCAAAAAATATAAAATTTAGTCCTGAGGGCCAAACCTAGAAAATACAGAACTAATTAAAGCTGCAAGCAGTGTTGGATGGGTCCTCGCACTTCCGCGCATCAGGGTTGTGGCAGAAATGCGTTCCTGGGCAAAGTGACAATCACCTAACCGTAACCCTTTCCTCATAAAACAGTAAATGCGGTTAAGCACGACAGTTGTGCAGAATGCTGTCCTTGCGCCGTTTGTCCACGAGATGGAGCTCTGACTCCATTCAATCCTCAGGCCTCACTGTGTTTTTCAGTCGTGCAGGAACAAGCTGCAGCCAGAGCATAGACTGTATAAAAGATGGACGTAGCTACCGTGACGTCACCCGTTGGTTTCTGCACTGAGA